ATATATATATTATGAAATGTCGAAGCGATGCAAGAAAGATACCTGAAAAGAATGTTAGAACCGAAACAAGAAAAGATATTTTTACCTACTTCGCTGGGTTTACATTCTCACTTATACTATGATGATCGATTCGTAAAACCAAATGAACACCAGGAGATTTAAAACATTTTATAGAATAGTTTGGTCAAAGTATATGAAAATAGCCTAATTTAGTGTAAGAGCCTAGATTCACTTCTCAAACTTAACGACCTTCGAACATTTCGGAACGTTCTCGATACATCCAATCCAGTTCACTCTAGAGCATTCTATCTGACAACAGTCCCACACATTCGGGTACATTCCAGCTGAGGATAACGCTAGAATGGTTCAAGAACATCCTCGCTTATTCTAAACTCAGCGGGATTCAGGTGTTCTATGTTGAACCAATAAGGGGGTTATTTTTCAAAGTGTTTTTGACTGGTTCTTGAAATAAGTTTAACTTTTCCTCTAAACAATTTCTTATTTCTAAAGATGCGAGTAGATTGATTTTTTTGCAGCTTCAACCTTTTTGTCTATAACCATATTTCATTCGGGTTTGCCCATCTCACATAAGTGTTTTAACTATTTATTAGAAACATACAGCAGCCGTTGTCGTTCGCGAGTATCAATAAATTAAAGAAATTAAGTTAATTAAACAAGAATGGCATTCTGCTCCTTGTTCACTAAGCAGAAAGGTTACGTTCTACTAAGTGACTTCCCGCTCTCGAAATAATTGTCCTGTTAACAAAATTACTTAGTTCTCCAGGTGTTCCCTCGTTGAACAAAATTCAAATACTCCAATTAGCAAACAGCTGAAACTATGTAGAAGAATTAGAGCAGAAGAACGGGGAGAGCGAGAGAACGCGGGGTGGTTGTAGAAACCTTAGTATCTGGACGATTAACTCGCTCCTCGACGTGTCCGGAGACAAATTGGACATTTAAATGCATTGGTCGTTCGAGAAGTAGCTGCAGTAAGAATGGCGAACAAATTCGAAAGGAATTAAAATGCCAATAACAGGATAGAGACGTTTGCTTTAATCAAAAATTGATCCTACTGTAATTCGTTAGAAAGTCTTGAAAAGCTGTGGTCAAAATTAATTCGTATTGTAATGTTCGTGGGGTTAACAAATTAAATTTTAAGAAGAAAACTATTTATTTACACTAATTACTATTAAACTTAAAAACACTATTAAATGATTACTAAACTTCGATAATTATTCTATTTATTTACACTACTGTTACTATTCACTGTTCTAATTATTTCACTTCTATCACTGTCAATTTATCTCTTGATTCACTTCTGCAACGGTCAATTTATTTCTACTTTACTTCGACGATCGTCTCTTCCTTTTTATACTCTCTTGCCTCCTTTCGGGAACATTCTCCAGCCGTCCAGCGAAGTCTCGTTTTCTTTGAACGGTTTAATTGCTTTCCCGGAACGCAGGTACCACACACGTTTACAGATACGGCACACATGAAGAAAAGCGCCAGCGGCTAGTCGGTGAATCGATAAGCCGCTCACACACACGTATGCCCGATCGCACACAATCACGCTGGTGGTCGCTACAGTATCTATCTTTTTATTTTATTTAAATATGTACTAATAATACATATAAGCAAGATTAGATTTATATCATCATCATTGCACTTATTGATGACTTGCCCCGAGGTATTCCCCTCCCGGACATTCGAATGGGAGACTAGTTTACGTCCGGAATGCTTTACCCCAGAGGACGCCATCATTTTAGTTTCGGTGTGTTTTACTTGGGATATCATAACGTGGTGATTTCCCGTTGCCTTCCACATAGTAGTATTGTGCATCAAAATGCCATACCGATCCTCGTGATCTCTGTCACCCTGAGTACTGAAAGAGCTGTTGTCCTCTTTCAAGGACTTGTTTTAGTTTGTATTCTCTTTAAGAACCCCCCATTACGGTTGAACCTATGGTCCGACTCCCTAAATCATCGAAACTCGCATGCCGATCCACCCACTCTAGTTCGTACAAGAGTTTCGTCAAGGTTCCAGTCCCATCGGATCAAATATCTGTATGATTATTATGATATGAGTAAAACAATTGCTACCTTGTAACCAAATGATAAACCATGAAGAGCATTTTTATACTCGTCTTTATTTTCTTACTTCTACTAGCTCATGTTCCTTGCTATATTATATCAATAATAATCATAATCGTCATAAGGACGTCAATCTTAAGACTGATTGGACACGCATCTTTATTTTTTCCTATCTTGGGCTAATCTTCGCATTTCCCCAGCAATAGAATATCCCACATCTTTAACTATTTGTGAACACTAATCTAATCTTTCTAATTCCTTCTTCGGACACTACCCAGTCGTACGGACGGCTGGGTGTCTTTTGAAGATTTCCCCTCTTCCACGAAAACATAAAAAAAAAAATAATTCCTCCTCATTTCTAACCTGTTGTTGTCCACCGCGCCCACTGACCAACAAAAGTCCACCTCCTCCAACTAACTAAACCTTCTTTTTTCTAGGAATACTAAAATTACAGTTTAAGCCAGGTTTGCTCGATTTTGCAACACTGATTGCACAAGTGGTAAAGTAAAGGTAATCTAAATACTTAGCTTTTGTCCATTGTCATCCTGAACAATTTAAATTACTTCAAGTGTTTCTATCCAGACCTGTTACTTTGTTAGTTAAGTTAGTTATGAATTCTTTAATTTATATTAAACATTAAACTGAAATTAACTTTGTATCATCTACATATTACTCCAAATTAATAGGAAAAAATTCTTGCTGCTGTTGCTGGCCTCGCCGAGAATCGAACCCAGACTTCAATAACATTTTCATGTATATAGGTATATATTCCATCGTTCGTTTCAATGCACAAGAATCCACCCAAATCTTTCAACCTTCTGAGTGGTAGAAGGTAATAAGAGTCTTCCAAATCAGAAGGGCGTAATGTGAACGACGTTCAAGTTCCAAAGTTAAAGGACTATTTATGCGTCTCATAAAACTAATTAATGGTGTTTAGAAAGCTAAAATAATATTATGTGTGCCGTAAAACTAATTAGCAGTTTTCAAAAAGGTGTAGTAAAAATTTAAGGAAACCTATTTTTCACATTCCATAAATTATTTCGTTTGGATACGCCTACGTTTACAAGATACCTGTGGGAAAAGACTTTATTTTCCTGTCTTTATAGACGTCAACAAAACACACGGAGAGAGTTATTCGTAGAAGTTTAATGAAGTAAATGCAAATCGGGTTCTTAAAACGTTACCTTATCTCAGGTTTTACGTCGACTTACGAGGAAACGTTTTATGCCGAAGGTAATTAGGACTCAGTTCTAGTATAATAGCTCGAAAGAAAATACGGGATTGTTGTTACAATAAACGTAACTTGTCACCGGGATTTAAGAATTTCCGGATTAGGGTTTTGAAACAATTCAACTTACATGCCTTCTATTACACCCTAAACATTCTTATCTGATTTTATGCTTAAATCAATAAATAGGTATACAACAACAATTGCATCAACTAGGTATAACGTGTGCTATTAGCTAGCCCTTTCCTACTCACCGTTAATATTAGATCAACAAAAGACAGTGAAAAGTACAAAATAATTGTTTAATAGAAATTCATAACTTGTGTCCAAGACGATACTACTTTAGGTGATGTTATCAAAATGTGTAAAGGTTTTCAACCAAATTTTACGAGAAGATGAATTCAATAGTATGCTGATTAATTATCTATTTTGACGTAATATTTTGGGGTTTATTCCAGGATAGCGTTGAATTTCACTTAAGAAAAACATTTTTGTGAGAAAAAATGTCTTCTAGCTTTTTTTGTAGTTACATTTTATGAGTTGTAATATTTACTGTATGTTGGGTTGTCTATATATATTATATTGCAAATTATAGTTTAATTGTGGAAATAACAATACAAATTAGCGTTCCTAACTGCATCTACATAGTTTCAATTTACTTTAAAAATGAAAATTCATCATCCTACTTCGATGATACCAGAGTTATAGCTCAATTATATCCTCTGTTTTAAATTGTCCCGGCGCCGCCACCAAATTTTTTTGTAGTAAATTCTAATAATATTTGTATATATTTATAAACGTCTGATTTTCAGCATTACAAAAGTAGTTAACAAATGATAAACATTTACAAAATGCTCGTAATTAGTAATTAAATACTTTTTCAGCAGCTTCAAATAAAGATGTGCAAGGGTTTTCAACAAAATTTTATGAGGATATATGACTTGAATGTTGTTACTAATTAATTATTTATTTCTTCGTAATATTTTATGGTTTGTTCATAGGTAAGGTTGAGTTTCACTAAAAGAAACATTTTTGTGAGGAAAACGTTTTCTAGCTGAGTTGAGTTGTAATATTTGCTGTATGTTGGGTTGCCGATATATCATATTGCAAATTATAGTTTAATTGTGGAAAAATATATATAAATTAGCATCCCTAACTGCATCTGTATGAAAAAAACTATAATTTAAAGATGACAATTCATCAAGCTACTCCTATGATACCGGAATTATGGCTCAATTATATGTTGTTTTAAACTGACCCGGCGCCTCCACCAAACTTTTTAATAACTTTCATGATAATTACCGATAAAATTTGTGTATTTTCACAAACATCTTATTTTCGACATTAAAACGATATGTATATAATTAACCTTCCATCTTACATGTAAACTAAATCGAGTTAGGTACTTCTAAGGAAACGGAAGAACCAATCACTACAAATTTTCTTATCTTTAATGCATGCACTATAAACACTATTCAATAAAGGAATTCAAGGTTTTAAGTCTTTGTACGATTTTCTTCGTAGAAAAAAGATCAAAAACTAACGTTAAGTAATAATTCTTCTAAAATCTAGGTACCTACTATAAATAAAATTAAGGAAATGTTTCTCGGCTTTCAATCTTTTTTTCACAATCTGGGATCTACGATCAGATATCATTGCATTATTTTTCTCTTCTGTTTCAGGATAACGTTCGTTAAGTTGGGAGTGTTGGAAAATGGTCGCGTACCATATTTATTAGTGCGTCCTTCGGGAATACGGGAGTGCTCTGGAGTGTTCCAAGAGTACTGCACACTATCGTACCGTAATTATTGTGAGGCACTCGCGAGTCGGGAGTTTACGCGAAGAATTGTGATTATCCTTCTTTGTAATTCGCCGAAGTTACCGTATAGTATTCAAATGTGCCGCTTGTCTGTCCGGGAGTGCTCGGGAGAATTTGGGAATAGTGCACTATTTTTGAACGTAGCTTTGACAATCGGTAACAGAGTTCAATATTCACATGGATTATCTACAACAAGGAATCTCATCGAGAAGGTTTGTCGACGTATAGATCGTCTCAGGATAAAAAGTAAGATGCATGTTTTCTAAAAAATTTTGAAAAGAATCAATTGCGGTAATCAATTAATAAAATGGTGCGAACAAAAGGCAAGGGATAAACTTAGTATTCTCGATAAGAAGAACATGACAGAAATGTAGAAAAGGTAAAACAAATAGATAAGTGAATTATTAAACAGCGATCTAAAACAGGGATTTGGTGGTTACTTATTCCACTTGTTTTGTAACCCTAATGGAAGATTAGGAGTTCAAGTATGTACCAAATGGGGTCACAGATATTTACTATAACAAATAATGTTGTGGTATGTAAATAATATTATTAATATGCTATTTAAAATTTATAAACAGGTCAGGGGAAAAAATCTAATTAAAGTGAAGTATTCTTGGGGACAAAAAAATGACGACAAAAATGAACAAAAGGTAAAACAAATGTACAAGTGAATTATTAAGCGGAAATCTAAAACAGGGTTTTAATGATTACTTATCCACTTATTTTGTATCCCGAATGGAAGATTTGAACTTCAAATATGTGCCAAATGGGCTCAAGGATATTTGCCATAACGAATAATGTTGTGGTATATAAAAAATATTATTAATATGGTATGTATAGAAAGACGCGGAAAAAGTGCTGGGAAATAATTCTAGTGATAGTGAAGTATTCTTGAGGAAAAGAAGAAGTTGACGATGAAGAAAAGGTAAAACAAATGTACAAGTGAATTATTAAGCGGAAATCTAAAACAGGGTTTTATTGATTACTTATCCACTTATTTTGTATCCCGAATGGAAGATTTGAACTTCAAATATGTGCCAAATGGGCTCAAGGATATTTGCCATAACGAATAATGTTGTGGTATATAAAAAATATTATTAATATGGTATGTATAGAAAGACGCGGAAAAAGTGCTGGGAAATAATTCTAGTGATAGTGAAGTATTCTTGAGGAAAAGAAGAAGTTGACGATGAAGAAAAGGTAAAACAAATGTACAAGTGAATTATTAAGCGGAAATCTAAAACAGGGTTTTATTGATTACTTATCCACTTATTTTGTATCCCGAATGGAAGATTTGAACTTCAAATATGTGCCAAATGGGCTCAAGGATATTTGCCATAACGAATAATGTTGTGGTATATAAAAAATATTATTAATATGGTATGTATAGAAAGACGCGGAAAAAGTGCTGGGAAATAATTCTAGTGATAGTGAAGTATTCTTGAGGAAAAGAAGAAGTTGACGATGAAGAAAAGGTAAAACAAATGTACAAGTGAATTATTAAGCGGAAATCTAAAACAGGGTTTTATTGATTACTTATCCACTTATTTTGTATCCCGAATGGAAGATTTGAACTTCAAATATGTGCCAAATGGGCTCAAGGATATTTGCCATAACGAATAATGTTGTGGTATATAAAAAATATTATTAATATGGTATGTATAGAAAGACGCGGAAAAAGTGCTGGGAAATAATTCTAGTGATAGTGAAGTATTCTTGAGGAAAAGAAGAAGTTGACGATGAAGAAAAGGTAAAACAAATGTACAAGTGAATTATTTATTATTAAACGGAAATCTAAAACAGGGATTTAGTGGTTACTAATTCAACTGGACTTCAGGTATGTACCAAATGGAATGAAACGGGTATTTGCCATAACGAAAAATGTTGTGGGATGTAAGTAATACTATTAATATCTATGTCATTTGTTTTATATCGTATGGAAGTCAATAAGAAATAAGCGAAATAGATTAGTAGGACACCTTCTCAGGCATGAAGGTCTAGTCCGAGACATACGAGGGTGGATTGATAAGTTTCCGGCCTAACCAAGAGATGACGCCACTAGGCCTACCTTGAGGTGACATTCTATAGTACCATCCTTGGATAGCTTGTAGCTATAGTTTCAGCCCGATCTCCTTGCTAGTGTAGGTTTGACAGCACGCTGAACAAGACGCCTCTGTGGTTTTCGTAAAAATGGAAAAGCAGGAAAATCGTGCTGTCATCAAATACTTTTATTTGAAGGGGTTAACGCCGAAGGAAATTAAAAAAGAGATGGACTCAACACTGGGGACATCCTCCCCGTCATATTCAACCGTTAAGCAGTGGGTTTCCGAGTTTAAAAAGGGTCGTGTGAGCACCTCTGATGGGCCTCGCTCAGGACGCCCCGTTGAGGTCACAACTCCAGATATGATCGAAAAAATTCATCAAATAGTGCTGGGAGACCGCAGATTGAAAGTGCGTGAGATAGCTGAGACCTGTAAGATGTCATATGAACGTGTGCAACATATTTTGCACCAACATTTGCATATGGAAAAGCTCTGTGCAAGATGGGTGCCGCGTTTGCTAACAGTCGACCAAAAATTGATTCGAAAAAACATTTCTACCGCAAATTTGTCATTGTATAAGCGTAATCCAAGCGAATTTTTGCGTCGATTCGTAACCGTTGACGAAACGTGGGTCCACCACTACACTCCTGAAACCAAAGAACAGTCTAAACAGTGGATTGGACCAGGGGAACCAACTCCAAAGAAGGCAAAAACAATTTTTTCGGCGAACAAGGTTATGGCTACTGTTTTTTGGGATGCAAGAGGTATTATATACATTGATTACCTTGCAAAGGGTAATACTATCACTGGTCAATACTACGCAGACTTATTGCAACGTTTGAGCCACGAGGTGAAAATTAAACGACCTCATCTGGCGAAGAAAAAAATCTTGTTTCATCACGATAACGCACCAGCGCACACGTCAATCGTTGCGACGGCTAAAATCAACGATCTAAAGTTTGAATTGATGCCGCACCCTCCTTACTCTCCAGACCTAGCCCCGAGTGACTATTTTCTGTTCCCTAATCTCAAAAAATGGCTTGGCGGTAAGAGATTTGCGGACAATGAAGAAGTAATCGAAGCTGTAAATGGTTATTTTGAGGAGCTTGACGAATCAGTCTATAGAGATGGCATTAATAGACTGGAACACCGCTATGAGAAATGTATCAGCCTTGGAGGAGATTATGTTGAGAAATAAAAAAAAAAAAATTTTTAAAAACCTTGTTTTTCTTGGTCAGGCCGGAAACTTATCAATCCACCCTCGTATTAGAGGCAAAAACGGAAGTTAAGAGGGGTGGAGACCTAGATTAAATTACTGTTCACAAATAATTTAGGATATGGGTTGTTCTAGCTTTACGGAAATGCGAAGATTACCTAAGGATTGGAGAAAGTGGAGGTGCGTGTCCAACCAGTCTTAGGACTGACGACCTTATGATTATGATAAAGTAATTTATAATTTTACAATTTTTACTTTTATTTTAGATTGCAAATACGTAATCTCTCTAAATCTGGTATACTTCATAGAAGTTCGGATGTACCAGGTGCATGTACCATACATCAAATTAAAGGTGTCAAAATTTTAGGTTCAATAAAAAAAAGAGTGCAGGACCCCTGGTCACATAGCCGACGCGGGCGCGCCTCGATAGACTAGGTACATATATTTTTAGTGAAATTTTTGCGGAAAAAGAATTGTATCCCTTTTTTATCAAACAAGCATTTCGCGAATGCCGTGCATTATGTAACCAAAAGGTAAATGTGTTCACTTTTGAAGGACAATCAAAAACACTGAAAAGGATCAACGACTAATGTGATATTAATTAAAGATCATTCTCACTAGTCGATACTTCGTTCAAATTTTATTAATCTTCATAAAAAAGTGTATTTAGAGTATAAAAACAAAGCTGTGCACTTTAAAAAATTGTTATTATTAAATTTAGACAAACAGAATACATTTTTACATATCGACCTATTGTTTGTGCTTTACAATTTTAAAACAAATGACAGACACAATTAACAATCAACAATTACCACTATTACATATACCTCATGGTAGTTAAAATATATACAGTAAATTATAAATAAATTTACAGAGCGATATGTTATAATAAAACTCCATCGAGAAATTATATTAATTAATTAATTTATAAAAGCTACATACATTACATTTGACACGATAATCAATAACGTTTTCGTAAATATTATAATACATATACATGAGTAAGTGAGAGAAATTACAAATTGGATTAATGCGGATGCCTATAGATAATAACAATGCTCTACATTTAGCATTTATGAAACAACTTGACATTTTGATTCTACAAAAATATCTAAAGCAGACTTGCTATTGTCGTTTTTTCTCTCTGCATTTAAAAATTCTTCCACTGCATTCGATATTTTATTATCACTATTAGAAACCGGATTTTTCTCCAAATCTTTCTTTTGTTCTTTCTTCTGCATATTTTCTTCAAGCGTATCAGATGTTTCCTTTACAGTTTCCGCCAACTTTTTCTGTTGTGCTTCATTCTTACTGTATTCGTGTAATAATTTAATCAAAGACGAATGCTCGATATTGCCTTCGTCATCTTTAGTGGTAAGTTTAGAAATTGAAATAAGAGATTCTCGTTTATTATCGCAGACCACTGGGGTTGGTGGAGGTGTCTTCGTTGTTGAATCATCATCTGGTTTACTATCCACTGTTTCTTGAAACGTTAATTTCTTAACAACCGTAGATGTTGTCTTATTTTCGTCGCTTCTTCTTTGTAATAATGTACGCTTAACAATCTCTTCTTTAGATGTGCTCGCAATTTTCTCGACGATCGTTTCAATTTCTTCGACTTTCTTTTCCAATAAAGGTCTTTGAGCGTCGTCGTTTTCTTTCTTCCTTTTTACAACCGGTTCTTCTGAAACTACTGCCGCATTTTCCTCTTTCTTCACCAAGGATTCTGATCTTCGAAGTGGTCTTGCTGGTGCCGGATTTTCTTTTTCGTACTCTTCATGCGAAACAATAAGTTTTTCCACGTCTGATAAACCAGCATCGTCACTTAGAGGTCTCCTGGGTCTTTGCAAACTTGCGTCTTTCGGTTTGTAATGTTCTAATATTTTACAATCCCAATCTTCCAATCCGCCGAAGGAGTCGTCGCTATCTGCATCGTTTGAAGTCTTCTGGTGTTTATGGTGTTTGTTCTTCTGGGGAAATATCGATCCTATACTTCTACACCTGTGCATGTACGATTCCAGTTTCCCAGTGGATGCAGTTTTCTTTGGTTTCTGTTCGGGATTCTCATCGACCAGATTATTCTCTGAATCGTCCTTTTTCAGACTAAATCTAAACTCGTTAATGTTCGGTAACGAAACCACTGATAGATTCTTCTTTCTCTTGGCGTCTTTACTGAATCTCAAGGAGCCAACTTTATCAATATCTTTCTTTTGAGAATGCTTATGATCTCTATTGTGGTGAGCATGATCGTGATCGTCTAAGGGACAGCCGTATATTACAGTCTTTTTAATAAATGGCGGTTCTTCAACTGGTTTAGGACTCTCTTCTTCTTTCGGAGCTTCTTTTGACACAGGCACCATTTTCTTAGTTTGTAAAGCTTGAAGTCCGTTTTTAGCAGCAGTCTCCAATTTTTCCCGAAGAGTCTTTTTGTGTTTGCGAGGCGGAGGTGTTGGTGTACTGTCGTCATTAAATATTAAAGACAGTTGAGGATTTTTAAGATGTACAACTTCGTCAGGTACTTCGAGGCTTGCTTCAGTCCAGTCGGAAGATTTCGCGTTCGATAAAGGACGTGAGTGCTGTACTATACCGTTCTTCGATTTTCTTGTTTTCACTTCAACCCTGCGAACAAAAAGTACACATTTTCATTTCATATTCCAGCAAAAGTTATCTACATATACCTAAATGTACTACCATTATACAGGTACATATTTAATTTTAATAGTATTCAAATTCAAGTTGATTTGGAAAAGGCTGAGGCATATTATTAAGCTTGTAAATAACATACAATATGTTTTATGTATTCCATGCATGAACATTTTTGTATAAATATTTTATTTGTCTTTTTGCTGCAAAATCCCGTCCCACTGTTGAAGTAACCTATTTTCGTTTCACGAAGGGATTATTATGGAAATTATTCCATAATACGATATATTCATTAAACAGATGTACGTAATGCGGTCATTTAACAGAAAATAATTTAATATATGCTTAATCGGTACACGTTCGAGAAATTGACAACAAAAAACCCTGCCATATGACAATAATTATTAATTTATTCGAACGTTGATTAAAAGATGAAAATTACACCAAGCATTATTATTGACACCTTATTTCTAATTATTGTAAGATATAAATCAAAGTAGCGTGTCTTGCAGCTTACACCGGAAAACCATTGTACAGTTTCTACTTACAGCATAAGTTTCTAATTGCAATGATAAAAAGACAATTAGGTAACACTAGAAGTGATTAACCGAAGCATTTTATTGCATGTTTGCAGACATGAATCATTTGAAATATCCTTGATTAAATTTTTAACGAACCAGTACGTATCAGTACATATTTCTGACTTGTGAGACAAAATACTATTCCCTTAGTTTCTGAAATCAGCAGGCTAGAAAATCTAACATAATTCCAAGGGTAGTTTTTCCGGCAGGGGGCGTTAAAATTGATCAAAATTAATTTGTTATTTATAAGTTAACCATTAGGTTTTACCCGCGTCTTTACTCGAGTTGATGTCCTAAATACATATCAAAGATCATCGTCGACCACATAAAACTAATTTTTTCTATCTCTCAGGAACAGTATGTGTTTTTTGTGGATAAAAAGTACCCTATGTCTTTTCGTCTACCCCTAACAGTATGTGTACAAAATTTCATGATGATCGGTTGAGTAATTACGTCCTGAATAGGTAACCAACAAACAAACATTCGCATTTATAATATTATTAGTTAAGATTCCTGATCGATTTTAATGATTGGGAAGTCGATTCCTATATATAGCATAAGCACATCTATGAATATTTATCTGTATACCAACTACTATTACAAATTACGATTGAAGAAAATTGTATTGACCAGAGGCAGTAACATTTAGCAAACTAACAATAAGTCAAAGTTCACGAGTGAAAGCGACGAATAGGTACCTCTTTTCAGAATTAAATGTCCAATTCGGTTGTCCACAATTCGTAACATGAAAACAACTAAAAATTTGTTGTTACTGCAATTAAAATACTACAAAGATTCTTTTTAAAAACAAGACTTCAGGACCAAAACGTCTCATTACATTTCCAAGAAGGCCATCAACTCACCCACACGCCGTGTTTTTCAGAATACTCAAAATTCTACGTACAATTAAAAAGAGTTTCAAACGGTGTTAGTCTTTTATAAACGATAAAAATATTTTATTTTAAGAATACGTAAATTAGAAAATCATAATAATAATATGTGCCCATTACAAATTGGATTAATGCGGATGCCTATAGATAATAACAATGCTCTACATTTCAAGCTACTCCTATGATACCGGAATTATGGCTCAATTATATGTTGTTTTAAACTGACCCGGCGCCTCCACCAAACTTTTTAATAACTTTCATGATAATTACCGATAAAATTTGTGTATTTTCACAAACATCTTATTTTCGACATTAAAACGATATGTATATAATTNTCTAAGTAAATAGGTAGGTAATTTTTTGCAAAACACAATTTTTGAATGCGCTTTGAAATACCAACATTAAAAAAACTGTTTTTAGAAAGTCATATTGCATGAATATTTTTATAACATATCTACAATAATTCTGAAATGGCTTCAGTCGATAAATAATAATTTTTTTATGATCGCCCACGAGAATGCCGGTTTATAAACACAATCCGTTAATTGGTATTTTATGGATAGAGAGCAAACCATCTATGTAAAATAAACAGTTATTACTTCATTGCATTAGTAAGTGAAGTAACGGCCAACTTGGACGTGGGTACATTCTAAACTGGTCACGAAACCAAACGTTTCAACCTATTCCTTTCCATCTAAGTAATTTCATTCGATTCTATTGATTATATTGATATTTCACAATAAATAAACAAGACTTTATCTATCTGATCGTGCACGGCTGTTAATACATCTTCCTAGCACAATGAATACTAAGTAACTACATGAATGCAACTATAAGCACAGTTTGTTTTAAGAATAGCATAAAAATAGAAATTAGGAAACGCGTCAATCCTTTTTTTTGCGAAAACTAAGAAGAAAATGTAACTTTTTCATTTATTCGTTTGTATTTTTAGTTTTCAGAATAAGCTTTTGACGTTTCATTTCAAAAAGCTATAAGGGAAAAAATCATTATCTATAATATCATGAGTTAAAATTTGGCCCAATTTACAACCAATGTCATAAAGAGATTTCAAGACTTCTCCCTGCTTAAGAAAATATATCGGTAATTATCCAGAATTGAGGCTCCAGACCAAAATCGCTCCAAAAAATTTTTTTTTTCATTCCATGTAGGTATATTTTACTGTTTGTACCTACTTGGTCACACATTACAAGTAATGTTTTGTTTCAATTCTAAAAAAAAAAAATTCTCACAAAATACCTAATCATTTTACAGTTAGAGTTCCGTAGATGAGACGATAATAAAAATGGTTTAAGAAACGTTTTAAAGCGGGAACGATGCAGTTATTTCTCGAACAAAACATACAGCACAGAGTTCAGAACTGAAAATTGAACGCTTTTCTTACATTCCCTCATAAAATACGAGGCTATAACATTCCTAACGATATAAACTGAAATTATTACAGGAGCTGCTTCACTTACGGTAAAGAATGATTTGTATTATCCATAAATTCAACAACAGTTCAACCGATTCACTACTAAAACAAGCTATTACTAACCGACTGAGTTACGAACTGTTACTATAATAATTCAAATTCTGCAAAATCCTTATTTTTGTATTAAGTTATAAATAAAAATGATGCGGACATTCCAATGTTATNTATTAGGTAATTAACTGCAATTTTAATACCTACTACATTTTATTTATTATATAGCCAACTTTCCTTATTCTCAATAAGCGAAGACGATCGCCTGTCTACTATGATGATATACAGTGAGAATATAAAACAAGTTTCTGACCTTTCCTTCGAATCAAAACAACCATTGTGGAGGTCACAATATTAAGATTCAGGTAAATGATGATTCATTCAATCACCCTATAGAATTCATTATTCTCTAAGCAGTTCTTCTCGAATTTGTTTTAATTGGTTTTCTCTAAATAATCAATAAACGAAAAACCTTTACAGGAAATGCCCCAGTCGCAAAATAAACTGCAAAACAACCGAAAATATTGCAAAATATAACGATTACGGTTCTTCTTCCCAATTACATTCAATTAGCTTTCTCTCAGCACCATAACTGTTTTGCTTTATCAACTTTCAAATGTCTTCAGTCTTCTTTTTTTTGGACAACTCTATTTGGAGTTTAACTAAGTCATAAAAAACTTTCTCTGTTACCTACTTACCATTATATTACTCACTGAAATTATCAAGTAATATGCTAATAATAAACTATCCATTCATATGGACCTCTTTGCAATAAAAATCGCGTTCTGCAACTGTGTCAAATATTTTAAGCCTAAAAGACATCGTTTTATAGCTGAACATACTGAAATAAAGGTTCCTCCTATTTACCATTTCGATACTGAACATTAAAAGGCACCCACACAGTACGTAATGCAATAAATAATTAATAAACAATGTGTGCTAAAACATTAAAGTGACGTATTATTAACAAAATTATGAGTTGCATGCACGCAATGTTTCCTCGGCGTGGTGCGATGTTATAACCTGAATGGAAATAATTGTTATTGTTACTCCTGTTATTACTGGTGAACATTGAACAGCTGATGTCAGTTATGCTCTGAAAGTTCTTCGGAAACATATTGTTTAAGCTACTTTACCTGTTCGTTTGTTTCTCATTGAGTTGAGGATCCGATTTCCACGTCGTTGGTTTCAACTGCAAAATAAAAAGTTACTTTTATTTCAACCGCCCACATCATGTACGGGATAGTATACAAATGGCACAAATTAAGAAGCAATTTTACATTTCTAATTTGAATAGGTGTCTGCTCACAAATCAGTGGCGCACACACAAGGAGAGTCTAAGATAATGAGCCTTAAAATTGGAAGGACTATATTAAATCCTCATCAACTTTTTATAAGCTCTTAAAATTCTAATAAATTTAGGATGTTCCCTAGTATACATATAAAACAGTAAAACAATAAGATAATTAATGTCTTTTAATAAATTGCGTGAATGTTGTTGGAAATCTAATAAATTCATGTTTTTTTGGATCTTGATTTCATTAATATAAACGTATTTTCCTGAGACATATTTAATATAATTAGGGTGACTCCACAGCGTCGTTCTTTTGTTAACCGTTGAGTATTTATTCCAAATTTCGCAGATTTCGGAAATTCTATGCTACTACTTAACAACTATATTTAGAAATGTTATCGAACATTAGCAAACGAGAGCATACAATCAGGAAATTATGTATTATTTTTACCAACATTTCGATAGATTGAATAAGGGTGTAAATTAATGATCGCGTCCCAATGTGTTTAAGTACATGAGAGAAACTGCAAATTCGATCCATACTCCTTGCACAATTTTCCATTTTTAACCGTACATAAACAACGTTACATGAGTATAAGAAAACGCTATTGTATTTAAGATATAAGAACACAAAAATTACATGTAAGCAGGTATAAACAGTGGTGTATTCAAGCACAGTTTCATTTAATTTTCTATAATGAAATTTAGAACCAATTAAATCTTAAGAAAGGGCTTATTTTCTAAAACATCCTGTATCTACCAAGCAATTTCTTTACCTGTACAACATACTGAATGTAAACCATGTAGTGACCTTGCAATTTCCGAAATACCATTAAGTATTGTGTCCCAATTTTACAAGTAGCAAAATAGTTTAATCGAAAAATCAATAGAGATCAATCAAATGTCATAAAGAATTATTCGTACCCAATTATAATGTTAATATGTATAAATGTCGAATACGTAGTGTGTCATTTATTATGGGTTAGTGGGTTCATATAAATGTAATTATGTTATAAAAAAAGCTATTAAAAACGCGGTTACTTTTGCCAAATGCGACATAATGAGCGTCGTTTGTTTGATAGGCTTCAAAGATCATCATTTAAGAATTACATATTGTCGTTATAAGAAACTACTATTTGAATAAATTCAAAATATGGTTATCATTGTCAGGATTGCAATAAAATATTAGATTTGTGTGAATTTAATAGGTTTTTCAAGCATTACGCAGTTTTATTGCTACCTAGTTCTACATCAGATATTATACAGTTTATAAATTATATTTATATACAGTTACTTAATACTTAATTTATTAAAATGCACAAATAAGATAACAAACTTTTGTAGTGTTAATTCAATGTATCAGTGAATTAATTTTTTATCCAGTACAGATAACAGCAAATTAATAAGCAAAAATTGCTGCCGCTGTTACTCCCTTGCCGGGAGTCGAACCCGAGCCACCACCAGGTTATCTGTAGTGGGTAAAATTAATTCACTAGTACATTGCACAAATAATTAGAATACAAAGGGTACAAAATCAAACTAAATAATAGCAAAGATTCCTTATTAGGTAATTAACTGCAATTTTAATACCTACTACTTATTTGTAGGAATATATTATCAAAAAGTCCCTAATATTAGGTCTAGCAATTTGTTTTATACTCGATTCTTCACGGAGAAAATTAAAAAAGGAAAATTTACCTAAATATTAAAGCGATATTTACAATTTATCCCACTAGCCCGTTGCTTCGTATGCGAAAATAATAAAAGTTACAATTTGGAACCGAATTTGTAAAAATAAAATCCCAGCAAAAATAAATTTACTAGCTATTTTAGTTGATATTATAAATTAAACTGTAATAAGTAAGAAACATAAAATAGTTTTTAAAAAAGCATGTCAAAATTGAGATTATTACAAGTTACCTAATAAATTCTACTATTTCTACTGCAAATTCAGTCATTTACAATCGAAAATTGTAATTTTTAATTCCAAAAGTGTACGGATTCATATAAGAGAAAAAATGTAATTTTTGTCCTACATTTATTCGTTCGTTATTTTATTGTTAACTTCTTTATACGAGACTAATATTTCCTCCCTATTTACATACGTGATGATAATTACGTGTAATTGCTGTAAGTACCAGAAACAATGGATTATAAAAATGTTTAAATTTCCGTGGTTAAAAATCAAAAGAAAAAACATGTCAATAAGCAAATTCAATGCGGTTACAGCCGAACATTAAAAAAAAACAAAGGTGCGCACTTAAAAAAAAAAAGAAATTACGTCATGTTTATTTACGTCGCATCGTCACATTTTTAAATCTACATGAGTGATTATGAGCCAATTATAGTATCTACCTATTATAAACGAGGCAATTTAAAATGGTAAAAACACATAGATGCAACGAATATTAAATGTGTACTAACGTGCAGCCTGTTGATGATCCTATCAAACGCATGGGGCTTATCGTCGGTGACAGGTTCACCACCGCCCTTTTTCTTACACAGTTTGTTTCCCATAACAGACGCGAAAAACGCCAGCCCAAGTTCACATTTTCACGAAAACTTTGCATCAAACTACGCACCGACAATACACGTTAAAACAAAACAACACTGTAATATTATGTTTTTCGTTTTACCTGGCGCGACAATGTTAAGTTTAATACGTACACGAATGCTAATAGTAGGTTCGCTCGGCCTTCGCTTCGCTATAGCACTTCAAGCAACTAAAGTAACCGAAGTAAAGGAAAACTCTCTCGCAATAAGCGACTATTTGTTGTTAAGGTTAACTTGTTCATATTTATTTTAATTCAAAGCCGTTCGCGCCAGCAATAACGCTAGCACGCGATGTTTTTTATACAGTCCTGGCCTCAAAACTCTGGACGCTGGTAAAGTCTGGTCCAAAATCATCATGTTTTAATTTCACAGTAAATATTCTGGGATGTACCTGACAGGGCTATTTCGTAAAATCGTAAAGATAAGAAACGAATTATTTTGTAAATAACCTTCCCTAAACAATAGATAATTTTACATTCCTGAATGGAATTATGGAACATACAACTCCATCGATTTAAGACTCCCTTTTGATAAATTTGAGCGAAGCGAATTGTATTTACAATAAATAAATGTCTAGTTAAAATAAGGCAGATTTATATTTAACATTACAGGCATTTCTTATTCAAAAATACCCTCAATATGCTATAGGTATCATAATTAACCCTAATGCAATAAATACCTATCTCTTCACTTGAAATCCAAACTTAGCAGGTAGCCCAAAAACATATAAATACTACAACCCCTACAATCCGCCCTTTTAGTTGGTCATCATGTTTAAACGAATACAGTTTCTATTCATTGCTTTTACAATTTCGTCATTTTCTTTTGCAAATGTTCGTCAAAGGCGTTGTTTTCGAAATGCATATACAAAAACTGTTATCGTAACTGATATTGTTACAATTTTAACGCCATCCTCGTGTGTCCATGTGGAACATTCAATTCCTGTTTGTAGAGGTGTGAGAAATTTACAAAAATTTCCTGATTTCGTCAAATACCAAACAGTAGCAAATATGTAAGTAATAATTCTAAGAAATTCTCCTAATATCGTACGGTTACTTCAAATTTTATTTTTAGAAAATTGGTTAGGCATATACCTACTCTCAATTTTTCATTGATGTACATGAAACATCTGTACAAAGTAAAATTATAACAAGATTTGTGAAACCTTGAATTTTTCAAACTTTCAAAACGCAGTTTTATGAAAATTTTCGATAATATTTTATTTACTTCGACATACACTAGTACATCTTGGTAATTGCTATTTAAACATCTACAAGAATTGGTGCGCATTTTTAGTTGCTATGAATGATTGTAAATCTGCATGTCACGCAAATAAAACAATGCTGTAATAAAATTTCTCTGGCTTGATAAAAAAGTACCTTGTATTGTAACGATAAGTAGCTGTTACACTTTCATTTAATATCATCTCTATAGTTTGCGTTTTGTTGTTTCCAACGTCAGCAATTCAAATCCATGAATATCCACTGGATAAATCACGAAAACCTCAAATAAATTCACTTACTTTTCCTGTATTAGTTACAAATAGACCGGATGTACAAAAAACATTTATATAAACGTAATTAAACTAACTTTCACTTAATTAGTGCCCACAATTAAGCGTGAATTTGCGTTATTTATTGAACCAATACAATAAATAATTACGAATCGTATTACGTATTTAAAATTTAATCAAAAATGGATAGGTGCAATATTATTAGTAAGATTAAATTAAATTTTTAATTTTATTTTATACAAAGCGGACAAAGAAATGAAGGAAAATTATTATCAGGGACGTCCAGGTACATAGGCTGGGCTGAATATTTTGGTTTTGTAGCCCCAACACTCACTAAAATCTATAGACATCGCGAAACCACAACGGTAATGGATCCCCGCACTGTGGTTACCTTTTCTGTGAAAGGGTGCAGACCCACAAGGTTACCTTTGGACTTAGACAGGTAATATATATTGACACAGTGATAAATAAAAGTTAAATATAAAAATCATAATACACAAGCCTTCATAAATTTTACTGAAATACAGTTTTATCTAAGGATTTATCTTGTAGGTATCCTAGCTAATATTGTTATAATTCCGAATGTAAGTTTGTTTGTTACCATTTCACACTTTAACTACTCAATCAATCATCATGAAATTTTGTACACACATTGTCAAGGGTACAGAAAAGGATATAGGGTACCTTTTATCCAGAAACCCAATACAGTTCCTAGGGGATTGCAAAATTAATTTTATGTCGTTGTCGATGGTCTTTTACATGTAATTAACACAACGCGAGCAAAGTTGCGAGTAAAACCTATCCTAAAATTTGTACACACATTGTCAGGGGTGCATATTTTCTCAAAAAAAAAAAAAAAAATACTGCTCTTGAGAAATAGAAAAATTACTTTTTGTGGTCATCAATAATCTTTGACACTTATTTAGGAAATCAACGTGAGCGAAGGTGCGCGTAAAACCTAGTATTTAATAAAGATAACTATAATTAATGGAGTAAATCAGGAAATAAAGCAATACAAATAAAATTTCGAGCATAACATTTGTCAAACAACGGTTGAATACTGTGCCCACTGACCGGCAACATTTTCGACAATAAAACTGAAACGTAAGAACAAATTCACAAACAATTTTCAACGTTTTTCTTTAGGTGCGCTCCTGAGATAAAAGCGACGACGACTCAAAGTGCTTTTCCTGCACTGCACACTTTACCTTCACACGGTTCCGAACAAGAACAATCTATAACAGATTACATCAAAGGAAATAGTCAATTTAGACACAATGATGTGAAATCTCAAGACGTCTCCGATTCCTTACAGGCCAGTTATCCTTCATATGTACAAGACGAAATTGTTACACAGCCAACAGAACCTCTTCCCCTACGTTACAACCGAGTTCCAATGATCTTGCATGCATAAAAAATAAATAGATAACGATTGTACCAAGGCAGTAACAGCTAAACCCATTGGGAAATGTTTGAATGCAAAGGTAAATAAATGACAAACACCTTCTGATCTTGCTTATTTAGATTTTAGTAATCTATCCTTCGAATGAGCACGGAACCCCTCCATCCCCAATTATTTGCCAGAAATTGGTCTTTAAATGAAAGCTTTTGCTTCAGTTCAAAAACGTTTCTAATAAAATAAATGGATAATGGTTTGTTCAGCGAATTGACTTTTTTGCTCAAAATTTTACAGTTTCGGCATTAGGACGATAATTTACATTACACATTAACTAAATCCTCATAATAAGTAAGTAAATAACTTTTAGCAAGTCGAAATAAAAACGTGTAAGGACATTCAACAAAATTTTACAAGCGCACGTCTATAAAAATATTACTAATTCACATAATAAGATTATTTTTATGAGAAAATCGCTCTGTAGGCCTTTGTAGTTATTTTATTAGGGTTGGAATATTTGCTGTATGTTGGGTTGTCTGTATATGACATTATAGATCGTACTTTAACTGTGGAATGAAAAATATAAAATAACACCCCTAACTGCGTCTACATGGAAAAAATATAATGTAAAGATAAAAATTCATCAACGTACTTCAATCAAATCAGAATTATAGCTCAATTATAAGCGTTATTTTAAATTGCCCCGGCGCCTCCACCAAAATTTTTAATAAACTTTATTACTACAGTGGATCACAAAACTCAATCAAAAACTTAATACATTGTATTAGGTACAAGATTTTACGTATTGAATTTCTTAGAAGTGTTAACAAAATAGCTTATTAAGACTAAACTGCTTTCAACAACCATTTCGCCCTCTTAAAACAACGCTTAAAGAAAATATAAGCATTTAAGTATAATTCATATTCCTTCATTTCATTTTTTATCTATTATTTCCTTATTTTTCTGGGGCCCCTCCAAAATATAAAGTTAATAAAATCATGAAATAGATTAATGAAGTTGTGCGAATAATGTCGAATATTGTCCAAAGCTTTAATACATTAATATGTATCTTAAAATGAAGACAGTAGCCACATCTGTTTCATTTTATTGTTTTGACCTCACATTTCGTGGGTATTAAAACAACAATCGAAGAATCCTTAAAAGACTAATAAGAAATAAAACGCACAATTTTTTCGATAAACAGTCGTTAAATGTAAACGCCTCGATATATAAATTTCGTTTACAAAATAGACATCCACAAAATTGTTGTCATTTCTATTTGTTTTGAGAATAACTGGTCATTATTGTTTTTTTTTTTTTAGTTTACATTTACTTACAGTGTAGAATCAAAGCCATTTAAAAGGTAATATTCTTTTTTATTTTAAATCCAACAACTGACGTTTTGCCTCGGTTTTAAGCTTTATCAAGATAGGTTTTAAAGTTAGAATATTAAGTTAATTCCTCTTGATTAACTCACGATACCTAGTCAAATAAAAGTAAATAAAAAAAAAATCAAAGACAGTTAAAGGGTAATATTATATATTAGTATAAAACCGATTACCGACATTTCTCTTTAGGTTTAGCATTTATGAAGGTAGGTTTAAAGTTAGTACATCAAGTTAATCAAAAGGAATTAATTGTTTTGATGACTTCTTAATTTTTTAAAACGTGGTATAAGTTGCAAATAAATACTTTTTAAAAAACTATAAAAAAAATTTTTTTTTGTAGTTTACATTTAATTCACATTAAATTTTGTTTATGCAACCAAATTAACAGTAATGTTAAATAAAATGAATTACATAAATAGGGGTAATAGACGTAGCCTCAGTAAATTAACATTAAATTAATAAGTATTTTATAGAAATTATTTAAGAAAAAACATGTGACAGTAAGAGCCTAATTTCCATTATTTGACCTAGTAGGTAATTAAAAACTAATAATGATAAAGAAGGTGTACGTAAAAGACTTGAACAAAAAGTGATTATAAATTGAGGTTAGTAAATTTGACGTACAACAAATTCAACGTTTATTCTCTTCATTAATTAACTACATTGAGAAAAAATAAATTGCTTAAAGGCATAAAAATATACTCATCATTATGTCTCTATTGCGGTCAGTTATTGAAAGTATGTTTACCCCAAGATTAGTTAAAATTTACGGTAATAGTCCTTTACAAGTGGAGGTATGTTTATAATTTGTGTAGGTACTTTTCAAAATAAAATAAAAGCGAATATTTTTCAGAGAGTGTATGAGCCAAACTTATTCGAGAAATGGAGCGATCAAATTATAAACTCTGTAAGTTAAAGTGCCATTTATTTGCTTTTGTGTTATCAAATAATGTTTTAGATATACATGTTATGGAAATTGGGGCTGTACGGTTCTCCCCTTCTAGTAGGGTACTTTTATCGCAAAGGATACCTTACTTCTGACTATTTTATCACTCTTACCAAATTTGTTACAAGCATAGGTGTAATATTAGTAGTTTCTTTTTGTGTAAGGGGCTTTGGACGATCTACAAATTCTGTATACCAGAAATTTCTTAAGACATTAAAGGATGCTGATACAGATTTAACACCTAGCAACAAGCAGGCTCTTTCAAGATATGAGTTTGATTTTTATGCATGGCCAGCAGAATATACATGGTTTAATATGGATGGGTAAGGTATCTATTACTATTTTTTGTAATATTTTACAATGTTGAATTATTACAGTATTGCAAAGAAGGCCCGTAGAAACATTGTAAGACCAGTATCTCATAGAAATGCATTTCAACTCATCTCTTCAGTACCTTGCCACATTATTGGATATCTATCCATTCATACATTTGGCATAAGAATGATTTATCCAGGATCTCTTGGAATATTACAAATGATATTGGGTAAGTTCGTGTGGTGCATAAACTGAGTATTTATTAATTAATGAAAATACTATATTTAAAGGTCCTGTGCTCCTTCAAGGACGTACTAAACTTATAGAAAGTTACAAAGGAGTAAGGAGCAAGCTAAAAACTAAAGAAAACAATTCCATAGACACAATGTTTATTGATAGACGAAATGAAACTGAAAACGGTAATACTTTAGTAGTGTGTTGTGAAGGAAATGCAGGATTTTACGAAATTGGTGTAATGGGGACACCTATTGAAGCTGGATATTCTGTTCTTGGATGGAATCATCCAGGATTTGCCTGCAGTACTGTAAGGCTTCTTTAGCTATTCATAATTGAAAAATGAACTTACTAGTTATGTATACATAAAACTATTTAACAAAGAAATGCAATTGAATTAAAGTAAATAAAAAAATAATCAGTAATAGTTTAATAAGTGAGTAATGGTCGTAGGGGAAGCCATATCCAGTACAAGAGCATAATGCAATAGATATAGTAATGCAATTTGCCATTAACAAACTAGGTTTCAAAAAAGAAAATATTATTCTTTTTGGATGGAGCATTGGAGGCTATACAGCAACTTGGGCAGCAATGAATTATCCAGATATTAAAGCCGTAGTATGCCTATATTTATCGTGATTTTCCATTCTGTTATTCTACTGAACATGTTTTTTATTTGCAGGTTTTAGATGCCACATTTGATGATATCCTACCATTAGCTGTCAGTCACATGCCCCAATCGATGGAATCGATCGTTAAATTAGCCATAAGAGAATATGTTAATCTTAACATTGCTGAGCAACTTCTTACATATCCTGGACCTGTATTAATTATTAGACGCACAGAAGATGAAGTCATTTGTCTAGAGTAAGTTACATTTACAATGCAGTGGGTATCTCATTGGTCTAAGCACGTGGTTTTACTTTTCTTTTCATACAATATGTATAATATGAAAACTAGTAAAACATCTGCTTAATCATAAATTTTTAGGGAAGGTATTTTGTCTAGTAACAGAGGAAACAATCTGTTGATAAAACTATTCAAATATCGTTATCCTTTGATTATGAATGATGCCCAATTGAAGATATTACAAGAGTATTTTTCTTATACTGGTCCTAAACAAGGTAAAAAATAAATCAGACTTTTACTGTCATCAGTTCGAAGTATTTATTTATTTCTTTTTTTTTTCAGATGATTTTTATCGAATCTCTGGAGTAAATTCTGACTTGTGCAGGTCATTACTGGAATCCTATATATCAGAAAATTCAAAGTCGTATCCCATGAGAATTGGAGAAGATATGGACGATAACCAAAAAACTCAGATGGTTTTATATTTGGTAAGAACAAAATAAAAACAAATTATAGCTTCAGGAACAAATTGCCTATGACTGTGATCTTTAAAAAACTTTTTAATAATTTTAACTTGCCTTGTCCACTTTGGTTTTAAAACTTGACTAATAAAACTACATAAATAAAAGATCAAAAAAAGGGTTCTATAATTTCAGGCAAGAAAATATATGAAAGATTACAAGTCTACACATTGCACCCCACTTCCGAGAGACATGTTCCAGGCTCCTTGGGACATAAATATAGTAGAAAACGATTTTGTGTTGACATAAATCTCTACATTTAAATTAACTTGGATTATATTTATTGGTAACGTATGGTAAATGTAAATATTTTACATTTATGTAATTTGGTGATGATACAGATATCTAATTCGTTTGTTGTTTGGTATGAAAAATGATAAATATGCGAATAAAAAAAGTTTAAAGTTGTTGGATTTAAATATATTTAAAATATAATTATTATTTTTTAAAAAGTAATACATTAAATTTTATTATCACAGGAAATATTCAATAACATATTAAACTGTTTTAAACAGTAGTATCTACATATGTGTTTCTTTAAATATTATCATCCATTCCCCTTAAAAATTTCCCACATGCATAAACTAACCTTCTGTTTTTAAGGACATATTACAGTTTACTTTTGTTTTTTCTACCAAGGAATCTTGCTAGGCTTTCATAAAATTCTTCTGACATAATACACTCTTTAACTACTGTAACTTCAGCATCATTAACTTCAGACAATATTCCTCTTGGTATTCTTCTTATCAACCCCTTAGATCTTTTTAAAGAACCAATAGGTATGCTTCCATACTTTGATAAGTCTTCAATAAACTGGTTTAATTTGCTGTGTGGTATAACTTTCGATATTAAACCAAATTGGTATGCTTCTTGAGCATCCATTTTATATCCTAATAACAACATTTCATTAGCTTTACTACTTCCTAATATTAAAGGAAACAAATAACTCGAACAGGCTTCTGGGCAGAGCCCAAGATCCAGAAATGGAGTCTGAAATGTTGCTTTTTCAGATGCATAAACTATATCACAAAGTGCCAAAATTGTAACACCAACTCCAATAGCAGGGCCATTTACCACAGCTATAAGCAGTTTAGGGTAATTAATAAACGCAAGAACAAAACGTTTAAATATGGAACTGTTTTCCTCCAAGTAATTGTTAATATCGATATTTGCAGCATCAAAATTCAAATCAGTTCCACTACAAAAATAGTCGCCAATTCCAGTAATTATTGTTACTTTAATGTCATCATCTTGAGCATCTTCGTTTAATATATTGGAGAATGTCTTGTAGAATTCTAACGAAAAGGAGTTTTTCTTTTCTGGCCTATTAAATCGTACAATTTTAACTCCATTACGAAATGTTGTAAGGAAAGGTAGCTCACTGTTAATCGACATGCTTTTAAAAACAACTGTCAATGATATCCTGAATAAAAATCATCGTTATTTAGAGTGGAAAAGTAATTAAATTAATAATTTTTACCAAACTAACGTTAATTAACCTCAAAACCTAAGTAACTGTCAAAGTTTCCAACTGAAGTTAGCAAGGTCGTCTAACGTCCTTCACAAGCAGCTGTTGTTAACTTCAGTATTGTTTACTCTTTTGACGTTTGTCGTCCATTTGTCAGTGAATTACCAATTATTAACAAATATTTAGTAGATTTATATCTTTTTCTTTCAAAAACAATAATAAACATGATAAAAAAAGTTTCTGAAGATTATAGTAAATACCTAAATTTAAAAATTGATGAAAAAGTAATTTAAAATCATTAGTTTTGTGTGCATAATTACTAATTTAACACATCATTTTTCGTAGTTAAATGGGGTAAATCAAATTGTTGATGATATGCTGACTCGTTTAGAAGAATTTGAAACACTAATTGTACTTGTTCAACAAGAACGTTGCAATGCTGTTGGAATGACAGGACATTTATCACAAACAACTGATAATTTTGATCAAATAAAAAGCTTATGCTCCAAAGTTGACCTGCTAGAAAAAATGGTACAAGATGCAGATATGAACATTACAGCATTAGAAAATAAAGTTTCAGTTGCAGAAGAACACTATGGATTAGCCGATAACTCAAATAAATTGAAAAATTTGCTAATGCCACTATTTGTAAGGTCATAAATGTCCATACATGTAAGTGTTTAATATTTTTGTTTTCAGAAAAAACCGTCTAAACCTCAAACTATGTCATCAGGTAACGAACTGAAACCATTTACAGCAGAGAGTTATTTTGATCCTGATAAGCAGGGTTCTGTTTAACAGTTATTTCATGAATATGTTACTAATAATTCAATGTGTATATAAAGTATGTGTATTGCTAATTCAAGTTGATAATAACCAAAAATGTTTTTTTTTCTTATTAAAACAATCCTTAAAATCTCCCAATTATAATCACCTAAATAGAATATACTATCTATCAAACAACACATTTTTATCATAATATTTGTTTTAATAATACTTCTTCCCCCTGCCCCCGGTCATTTTTATTATTCCATTATGACGTAGTGTCGGCCATCATTCTTTTCTAATTGTTGCAGTTGTCGGCCATCATTCTTTCCTATTGTTGCAGTTGTCGGCCATCATTCTTTTCTAATTGTTGCAGTTGTCGGCCATCATTCTTTTCTAATTGTTGCAGTTGTTGGCCATCATTCTTTTTCAATTGTTGTCGCATTGTTACTGATGTCGGCCATTATGTTTTTTTAATAGATGTATAGTAATCAATGATTAAAATTTAAAGGAATTGTTTTGTAAATAGGTATGCAACACATTGTACACTTCAGCATAAGAAATTGCTGATACTAACTA